TCACCATTGGACTCAGAATTAAATTCTGCATCGAATAAACTCGGTTTTATTGACCGGAATTCGTTTTCAGAAAATCCTTAGTTTGATGGTGCTAGCTCGATGGTGCTAGCTTCACACCGATCTTCTAAGCGACGCTCTTTTGGAAGTAGATTTATGTTGATCATTCACCCGAGCATGAAGTGAGTGATAAGCGACGAACGTGATTGATGAATAATATATTATTGATGAATTATTCGTGGTACAATAGAAATTAAACAAAACTTTAGGGATTCAATGTGTTAGTGTGTTTTGATTATTATACTGTATAGTTTTTAAGAGTAAAATTTAGAATGTTTTATTTGATGAAATACAAATAACGAAAGTCGGTATGCAGTTGATCACTTTACTGGCTTCTTCCGTTTGAGCCATGCGATGAAACAAACGATTGCCATTGATAGCGCACGTCTTAACATTGTCGAAGTTAATATACCATAAATATAGAATTGATTCAAGAGGAACATCAAGATGAAGTGAAGTAAAGCCATGATCAACAGATAGATGATATTCCCCCAATATAGTGGATCTGGATCGGAACCAGATGGTGGATAGATATAATCAATAAATAGTTCCCAAAATGTAGGGAATATAATTCCAAAAGCCTGGTTAATGAATAAAAGCCAATCCGGAGTTATGTATTTTACGCAATTTACAACGAATGAACTGGTTGCGTCTACGAATATCCCCCGTAAGACTTTGTCCATGGCCTGAGAGACATCATGCTTATTATGATAGGTGCTTAGAAACTCACGTCCATACTCCAATAGATTTGGCTTCAAATCATTTGCGACTACTTGAAGAAATTTCCTACAACGTTCATTATTCATAAAAAGAGAAATTACAGCTGTTGGTACTTCGGTTTTGGCGATGATTGATTGTAATCTATCATGTGATTTTAAGTAATTGATAGCAGTGTCAATCTTAGTTTGATTAACTGAGCTATCGTCAGTGGTACTTGCGGTGTTAATCCCAAATTCATTTTGATAAACTTGAGCAAAACTATCATTGATATTCATAGAGCTTGCTCTTTCTTCGGCTTCGTCTAGTTGGAAAAAAGTTGACATTATTTTGTTAGGACATTATCATAGTAGAAAACGTACTCTCTGCTGTTCTGATATTTGAATTTATCATTGAAATATTGGATGAAAGTCTTTGATCTCGTGTATATGACATGATCGACAAATGTCACCTTGAATGCGATTCAAAATCAACTTTTGTTGGAAATTTTAGAAATGAAAGAAGGAAAGAAAAATGCATTACTATCTTGAAGGAAAAACAATGAGAAACTGCTTCTTTTCAAAAAAGAATGATTCATTGTTATTACTTAGAAATATTTTATGTAAACAAGATGTAGAGACATGCGAGTGTTCAATAGAAACGAACACTTTTTAGAAACTTCATTCAGGTACTCTCGTGTTGTACGGAGATTCCTGATCTTTGCACAGTGCTTACAACGAGATACTTTGTATTCAGGCGAATCGGTTGCAAAATATGCCATTTTAGGACACCTATATATCTGTCTCGATCAAAGGCTCGAATGGAGATCTCATTTGAATTTTTGTCATTGAGAGATGTCATTCATTAGAACTGACTTTCTGTCTATTGGAAGCTTTCAATTTTTCAATGTTGTAGTGATTGGTTTCTGTTTTTTTCAAGTGAAAGGAAGGAAAACTTATATGTTACTGCCGCTTCCTTTTTCCTCTGACGATCAGAGAGACTTTTTTTCTCTTTCGATAAATAAAAACAAGAGAAATTCGCCAGGCCAAGAAAGAAAAGGAGTATTTGTTCTGCCTTGAAAAGCTGATAAGGCATCGTTCCAGTTTTTTATTATTCATTGTATGAAATTTCAAGGAAAGATAGAAAAAAGGGCAATTTGTTAGAATGGTATGACGTTTCTTTCTTCCTACTTCCTCTTTAAGTAGTGTTTATAGTGCTGAAAATAAACATGATAAAAGCAGTTTGATATAGAATATAAAATAACACACTATTGATCATTTCACAAACAAACAAATCTCACGTAAGAGAGAACCTACCCACAATCTTAATAAATATCATGAAAACAAAGCATAGGTAGATGACATTCGAGGTGATTATGTTAATCTCTTATATTTTCAATTGATCTTCAATGTATTTATTGAATGTTAATCTTATAACTTACAATAAATATTCGAATACTCTAATCTATAGATAAATCAATCCGTGTTCTGTATCTTAAACGAATGAACGTACTTTAAAATAAAGATAAAAGATTTTTTAACGATAATACTTTACAAAAGAAGCACTTCATAAGAAAAAGAATATCATGACGATATTTTGGTTGCTGCTCGTTGCACAAGTCGCTGCACATGCGTTAGAATGTCCTCCGAGGACAACATCAATCCAGCGTCTTTTAGATGAAGCTTTCATTCCCGGAGCTGCGTTGATGGTGGTCAATTCGACTGATGTTATTTATGAACAAGGCATTGGTTATCATACACCTCCAATATTCACCAATCGTCGGCCTGTCGATCCTTCCACATCAATTTTTCTCTTAGCATCAATTTCCAAAACTTTTGTAGGAGTTGCGGCGATGCAAATGGTTGAATCCAACCGTTTGAAACTTGACGTAGATATTAATCAATATCTTGCACCGCAAATGAAAGTTACCCATCCACATTATCCAAATAAAACAATCACTATGCGAAATTTACTTTCACATTCTTCTGGTATAAGACAGAATATCGAAGAGGAATATAAACTTTACGTTCCAGGCGATGATTTTGCCAAGAGAAACCTTAGCGACGTGATAAAAATGTACCTGAGCCATGAAAACAGTTGGTTGCCTGTACCACCAGGTAATTTAACATATTACTCAAATATTGGCACAGGCTTAGCTGCGCACATTATCGAACGTTTAGCAGGTATATCTTTCGAAGAATATGTTCGAGAGAAAATCTTAAAACCGTTGGGTATTGATACAAACAATGCTGGTTATCGATTAAGTATATTTGAAAATAACCAAATCAATCTTGTCGAACATTTTGTCTACAATGCATCTTGGTTCGACTTGTTCCAAAAAATGTCACCAAATTATAACTTCTCTCGAGTAAGTTTCGAAGAAAAATTACTGAACTTCAGATAGAGAGTTGGATTTCTAGGTCGAGAATTCATCCGATTGGTTCCAGGCTCCACCGTTTAGTTTTACTATTTATCCAGCTGGTATGTTACGTATGTCGGCACATTCACTTAGTCAATTTCTTCGATCATTTCTGAATAATTTTCGCAGTATCCTGCATCAGCCTCATTCAATTCATGAAATGCTTTCGATTCCTCCTCAGATGAGCTACGTGAACATGTCTGATGTGGAATTCAGTCTCGGATGGTATTGGCAAACATTTCGTGGACGACGTTTCATTGGACATGATGGTTCGTTGCCTGGCGTGCGAACGTCAATGATGGCTAACGAAAAACGAAATTTAGGAGTGATCATTTTAACAAATGGAGATATTATTCAAAATGATCACCATGCTGAGAAAGTCAAAGGTGCAATCGTTGAGTTG